CGCACTCTCGGGCAGACCGGCGCGGGGGAGGGCGCTGTGCGCGGGGCATTTCGGGTCTGCGGGGCACCATGGGGAAGGGGGCGAAACCAGGGCGAGGGGGCCCCCGATCGCGAGGCGCCGATGCCACCTTCCGCTGGGAGGAGATTCAGAAAGCACAACCTGCGCACCGACAAGTGGCTGGTCATCGCCCGCAAGGTCTACAACATCACCAAGTGGTCCAGCCGGCACCCGGGGGGGCCACCGGGTCATCGGGCACTACGCGGGGGAAGACGCCACGGTAAGGGTCTGGGGCCTCCGCCCCTCTCTCTGCTGAAGGCGGGAGTCGGGGGCCACGGTCCCAGGGCGCCAGCCCTCCGCTGCTGCACGGAGCTTGGGGCGCCCCGGAGGGAAAGAAAGTGTGTCTATGGCGCTCGCCTCCTGCTCCGAATCTTTGTCCCGCGGGATAGGGGGGCCCCGGCTGTGGGGGTCGGACTGGGACCCCGGGAGGGCGGCAGCGCCGCGGGGGAGCCCGGAGCGTGCAGATCGTGCAGGATCTACCTGGCGCCCTGGCACCCACGCGGCCGCTTCTTCCGCGGGGTTCTCGGGAACCAGGGACGCCCCAAAGAGGGCGCTCGGGCCCTAGAGCTCTGGCGCCCCGGCGTGGAAGATGGCCGCCCCGGGCGCTGCGGGAAGGAACCAGGTGTAGGACCCGGGAGCGGGCCTCGCTCTCCGGCCCGCGGGGCGGGGAAGGAAGGCTCCGCCGGCTGGGTCTGCAGAGCCTGTGCCTGGAGTCTGGTCCGAGGAGAGGCCATGGCCGCCGCAGAGAGACGGCCCGGAGTTCCTGCTCCCGCGCTCAGACTCCCAGGACCCTCCTCGCCGGGATCGGCCTTCTTGGGGGCAAGGGTAGGGACTTGGCAGAAAGGAGAGAGGGCTGGAGTCTGACGGCCCGGGGTGGGGAGGCGCGGGGAGCCCCGTGGACTCAGCAGCTCCAGGCGGGCTTGGCAACAGGTCCCGCGGCCTCGAGGTTACTCTGGGGCGTTCAACTCAATGGCCCTCTGTTCCAAATCCCGCCAGGAATGCCCTGCGCGCTCGGCTGGCACAGTCCCTGCCCCAGGAGCCTCCTTCCTTCTCCGATCGGACTTGCAGGGCATGAACTGTGAAACGCACTCACTGGGGACAGAGTTGAATATGTGAAGTGACCAACTGGATAGTCATTCATTCTCTCCCCCCCCCACCCCCCCATGGGAAGTCTGGGAAGGGGACTTGGAGAGAGAGGTTAGGAACCGCTTGGGATCCGAGGGTTTTGTTTTTAAGCTGTTGGGCAGGTGCTTTGTCCCTTGGGGCGTGGGCTGACTGCTGCCCCAGAGTTTGGGGAGCGGTGTTATGGGCCATGCGAGTTTGGGGAGGGACTGACCAGCACACAGGTCGCACCCCTGCAGCCCTCCATGCACTGTTAGGTCTCGGGAGGCTGAAGGTCAGGGAAGCCCTTTTGGGGATAGTCAGGTTCTCAATGGGGTGTTTCCCCGCTTCCCAAGAAGAGACCTCAGGACTCAGCACCTCCGCTTCCCCGGAAAGATGACCCAGAGAAGGCCGGCCGGCCATCGGGGCCTCCTGCCTCCTGCGGGAGGTAGAACCCTTGGCCTGTCAGGGTAAAAGCTGCTTCATTGTTACAGCTCACACATCACATTCCCACCTGTTACCTCTCTCATCATCATCCGAGCCTGGGGTCAGCCCTGTACTCAACGCTGATTGCTCATTGCCGTCAGGGTTAAAAACCGGCTCAAGCCCTGGTCAGTAACTCAGCCGGTAGCTCCGTTAGAGTGTCACTCCGATACACCAAGGTTTTGGGTTTGATTTCCCGGCCCCTGGGCCTAAACCCGGGACCTGCCATCACTGAGTCCTCCCTCCCTCTCTCCCTCTCTCCCTCTCTCCCTCCCTCCCTCCCTCCCTCCCTCCCTCCCTCCCTCCTCTCCCTCTCTCCCTCCCTTCCTCTCTCCCTCCCCTCCCCCCTCTCTCCCTCCCTCCCTCCCTTCCTCTCTCCCTACCTCTCCCCCTCCCTCCCTTATTTCACCTCTGCTCTCTCTCCTCTGGTCATCTGGCACTCTCTGCTCTGCGCAAATATATATATTTGATTTCAGAGAGAGGAAGGGAGAGGGAGAGAGAGAGAGAGAGAGAAACATCAATGATGAGAGAGAATCGTGGATCGGCTGCCTCCTACATGCCCCACGCTGGGGATCGAGCCCACAACCCGGGCACGTGCCCTGACTGGGAATCGAACTGTGACCTTCTGGTTTGCAGGTCGATGCTCAGACACTGAGCCACACACCGGCTGGGCTCTGCCCTTTGCTCTGCTGTGGACAGAAGGAACCCTCATCCGTGTCCCAGGGTGTCTGTTCTTTTCATGGCAGAGTCCCGCTGCAGAGCTCTCTCCACTGGGGACTCAACCTCCAGCTACAGTGTCTCCAAGGCTCAGAGCTGGGCGGGGGGCAAAGATGAGTCACTGAGGAATGAATCCACTTTCCCTCCTTCCTCTCCTGCTGGGGCTGGAGTGGGGATTCTCTGCCTCTCACACCAGCTCCCTCCCCCCGCCCCCCTTGTCCAGCCGGGTTCCTGCCCCGTCCCCTCTTAGGACCCAGAGAGGGAGAGAAGGGGTCAGGACTCGTTCTACCTCTTAACCTGCGCCTACTCTGTCCTTGTGAAAAGGCCACAGGTTGAAAGTGGGTGGCTCTCGGGCCTCCTTTTGGCGGGGCGGGGTGGGGCGGGGCGGGGCGGGGGGGTCACAGTAGAGGAGAACACCTCGATGTGAATTCCTAGGCCAGTGATGGCGAACCTATGACATGCGTGTCAGAGGGGACACGCGAGCTCATTTTTTTGGTTGATTTTTCTTTGTTAAATGGCATTTAAATATATAAAATAAATATCAAGAATATAAGTCTTTGTTTTACTACGGTTGCAAATATCAAAAAATTTCTATAGGTGACACGGCACCAGAGTGAAGTTAGGGTTTTTCAAAACGCTGACACACCGAGCTCAAAAGGTTCGCCATCACTGTGCCCTAGGCGGACACTTCCCTGCAACTTTCCTCCCGGTCTGTGACGTGGGTCTGTGACCTGGGAAGGTTACCGCGCCAGTGGGCTGTGCGTGAGGTCATTGCTGACTCCTGAACGCAGGTGGGAAGGATCGTCACTGTCCATGTTCCCGGCACACACGGAGGGGGGCTCAGGACATAGGAGAAGGGGTGTGAAGAAGGGGTGCCTAAGTGTCCCCACTTTTACCGAAGGAAGAGACATTTACTGAAATCGAAATTCTTCCCCTGGTTGTGCCTGGACGGCAGCTCAGCTCTCCAACTAGGTCCGGGAGGAGGGAAGACCCCAGGCCCAGCCCAGAGTTCCCGGGCTCTTTAGGCAGATTCGAGAGGTGCACAGTCCTGTCCCGCCACTGTGACCCCATCAGCCCCAGGCTGCCAGCGTGGGGCTTGCTCCTGGGTAGCCCTGCCCTTCCCGCATCAGCAGGGACACAGCACTGCCCCCCAGCCTCCGTGGCTTCTTCCGTGGAGGGGACACGGACAGGGGCTTCCTGCCCCGCCTGCACCTCTGCCTGGGGAGGAAGTCAGCATCCCTGCTCAGCTTCTCCCTCTCCTCTCTCACCACGTGTCCCAGACCCGGTTCCCAGGGCTGCTGCCCGCAGCGCCGTCTGCCAGGACTTGGCTCCTCTCGCACTTCTGAGTCCCACGCTCCGTGCCCTGCTCGGTGCCCCGATGTATGAAGCTGGATTAGAGACCAGCATCGCTCTGCAGAGGAGGGGGACACAGCCAGAAACAGCATGGAGCGGGGCGCTCAGGACCTGGAGGGGGGCTGGGGCAGGGGTCATGGCTTCTGGCAGAAGTTGGCTGGCCTTGGAGCGGGTGATGACAGGAGCAGACACTGTGACGGCCGGGGCGTGTGACACACACACGTCTTCCATTTGGGAGTCGGTGCTCTGGGTCTGGCCTCCTCCTGCAGCCTGACCTCCTTACCCCTGACATGCCTCCTGGCCAAGGAGGGGGGGGTGGGGGGATGGGGGTGCTGCCCTGCCCTGTCGGCCTGTCGCTGCTCCTTTCTCCACCTGGGCCGGCCTCTTTTCTGGGAAGTCTGTGGCTCCTCTCCCTGTCAGCCCGGTTCCCGTTCCTGTTCCCAAACCGACTTCGGGTTGCCCCTGTCTTGCCCCTCGGGCCGCCTGTTTGCGCCAGCAGGCACTTCTGGGACGGAGCGGCTGTCGGAAACCTGCACGTGTGTGCACCACGGTGACACTGGAAGGGGGGGGCACAGAGGGACCCTCCTAAGGAGGGGGAGCGCAGGTGGAGGCCTTTTGATGAAACCTCGGAAACCTCTCGTTAGGCCACGCGGATGGGGCCGGGCAAGGAGCGCGTCTCCCCGTCTCTTCTCATCTCTGAAATGGGGCCTGTCCCAGAGTTTGGTAAAGATCGGTGGCTGTTGCGTGAAGCCGGGCTTGGTGGCTAGCCCTCCACAGCCGCCGGCGAGGAAGGGGGGAGGGGAGGGTCCTGGCGTTCCAGAAGCATCCGCCGGGCTGTGCAGAACGGCGGGGCAGTCTGAACACGATTGCAGTGGGAAGGTCTCCTGGGGTTAGGGGTGCGCAGTGTGGGGTCCTGGGTCCCCACCTTTGCTTGTGAGCCCTCCTGTGAGGTTCTGTGGCAGGCCCTGGGGCTGCGGCAGCCACGGAGGCGGCCTGGCCCTCCTGGCGCAGCGCTTACTGGTGGGAGGCAGTAAGGAAGGGAGCACAGACGTCCGGGACTGATGATGGTTTGACGGGACTCTCGGACTTTCCGACGTTGCGAAAGTGATTGCGTAAGTTGCACGAGATACTCGAGGCTTTATTGTCAAATGGGCTTTGTGTTCGGTGGTTTTGCCCAACGGTGGGCTCCTGTGTGTTCTGAGCACGTGCAGGGTGGGCTGGGCTGAGCTCTGACCGGTGGGCTCGGTGCAGTAAACGCACTTTCTACTTCAGGACGTAACCTATTGAAAGTCGGGGAGCATCTGTTCAGAATAGAGCCTGTGATTTTTTAAAAAGAATATTTTTATTGATTTCAGAGAGGAAGGGAGAGGGAGGGAGAGAGAGAAACATCCATGATGAGAGAGAATCATGGACCGGCTGCCTCCTGCACGCCCCCCACTGGGGATCAAGCCGGCAACCCGGGCATGTGCCCCGACCGGGAATCGAACTGTGACCTCCTGGTTCATAGGTCGATGCTCAACCCCTGAGCCAGGCCAGCGGGACTAGAGCCTCTGATCTTGATCGCTGCCCGAGAAGGTGAGCATGTCTCAGAGAAAGTGTGGGCTGGCGGTGGCGACTGCAGGCGGGCGGCTGGGTAAAGCCTTTCCCGGGGCCTGGGACCAGCAGCTGGGAGGCCCCCCTTTGCAGAGGAGGCTGAGGCTCGGGGGGACTGCTGGCCCAGAGTGGGCACAGCTGGTCCGGACCGGACCGCAGCCCCCTCACCGCCCGCCCGGGGCCCCTGGAAGAGCATCCGGCTCCCCTCTGAACATGTGCGTCGTCGGATCTCCGCCGCCTCCCTTTGCCGTTCAGCCAGGGCGAGCACAGACCTTTTTACAAGCTCCGGGCCCGTTTCCCTCTGCACACAGTGCTGCTTTGTGAGTCTGTTCTAGACTCAAATAGAACAAAGACCAGGCAGCAGGACTGGGCGCCAGGGGTGCCGGGGGAAGTGGGAGGAGACTGGCAATGACCATGGGGGGACACCAGTGGGTTGGCGAGGGAAAACCGACAAGGTCATGTCTTGTCGGCATTTTCCCCGTTTCTCCCCATTTTTCTTAATTTGAAAATTTCTAAACCTACAGAGAAGTTGAAGGAATAAGTGAACAGGAGATTCTCGGATTTAGCTTTGGGCACAGGGGCTTTCTTTCTCCCTCCCGATGCGTGTGCGATTCCTTCTGCCGAGTCCCAGGAGAATACGTTGTGCCGTGCGCCTCGTCACCGTCTTCTAAGACCTGGGACAGTCTCTAACACACTCACAGTGCCGTTGCCACATTTAAGAAAGTTAATAATTCTTTCATACGATCAGGTATCCTGTCCGTGTTCATATTTTCTCATTCAGCCCAAAAAGTGGCTTGTGTAACTGCTGGGTCCTCCCCTCTCCCCCCTGCATTGCAGTTTTTTAAAAATTATTATTATTTTACTAGAGGCCCGGTGCACAAAATTCGTGCACGGGATGGGGGGGGGGGCTCCCTCAGCCCGGCCTGTGCCCTCTTGCAGTCCAGGAGCCCTTGGGGGATGTCTGACTGATGGCTTAGGCCCATGGGGAGCGGGCCTAAGCCAGCAGTCAGACATCCTTAGTGCTGCCACAGAGGTGGGAGAGGCTCCCACCACCGCTGCTGTGCTCACCAGCCATGAGACCGGCTTCTGGCTAAGCAGTGCTCTCCCTATGGGAGGGCACTGACCACTAGGGGGCAGCTCCTGCACTGAGCGTCTGTCCCCTGGTGGTCAGTGCACGTCATAGCAACTGGTCATTCCGCCATTTGGTCGATTTGCTTATTAGCCTTTTATTATATAGGTTTGAGAGAAACATCAATTTGTTGTTCCACTTATTGATGCATTTGTTGGTTGCTTCTTATATGTGTCACCTGAGCTGCCCGGCCAGGGCAAGCATTGCGGTTTTTATATCTTTTTGAGTCTCTTTTAATCTAGACATCCACCACCACCACCACCCACACAGACACACTGTCTCTCACTTTTTTTCTCGCTGCCTTGATTTCCCCGATTGTTGCTCGTGGTGTCACTGGACTTGTTCCTGCCCCGGCAGTGCCGCAGGGCTGGTGCCATGCGGGTGACTGTGGTTACCACTGGGACTTCACACTCAGCCCATCGGGGGGCCTGGGGGCACTGGTCTCCCCGGCAGATGCTATGTTTGTCGGGAGCCAAGTTATGAAATGTGCGCAGCGTGTGTAGAAAACCCTGGAAGGAAACATGCTAGCATGCTAGCAGCCGTGGCCACCCATTGGATGGCATTCTCCTCTCGGTTCTGTCCTTTCTCTAAATTTGCCAAAATTATGCAATTATTACTGTATAATGGAGAAAAACATTGAAATGCATAACACTATTTTCATTGTAAAAGCAACATAGCAGTGTTCGAGAAAGCCTGGGAAGTAATGAAAATAAAGCCAGCCCTAATGCCGCCACTCCCGTCAAAATCCTTCTGTGGTTAAGTTATGCCTTTTCAAACGATGAAAAAGCTTTCGTCAGCCGTGCGCGTACCGAGTCTGCATTGGCTTCTGGTTTCCCGTCGTCTCCTGGCACCTTTTCCTCCCTGTGCCGGCTCCACCTTGCTCCTCTCACTGGTGGCCACGTGGGGGGTTGTGGGTGGCCCACTTTGCGGGGTCCCAGGCACCCAGCAGAGGAGCCCGAGGCCACGTCCTTCCTTCCCCGGCCCTGCCCAGCCCGGTGACCGCTCCCTGCATGTCCCTGGAGGGCCCTGCCCAGGGGGACATCCTTGGTGAGCACAGCGGCCCCTCGTCCGGGCAGAGGCCCAGGTGGCACCGTGGGGGGAGCCGGGCGCTGAGGGATCTGCCTGGGTGAGGCCTGAGGGCGCTTTGGGGGCCAGTTCGTGGGAGGCACACGGGGTTGCTGGTGAGTCCTGCCTCCCGGGTAGGGGTGCAGGCTGAGGTTGGGGTCCCCACTCACCACTCACCCCTTGTTCACCAGGATGCCTTACATGCCTTCCACCGTGACCTTGATTTTGTGCGCAAGTTCTTGAAGCCCTGCTGATCGGTGAGCTGGCGCCGGAGGAGCCCAGCCAGGACCGTGGCAAGAATGTGAGTCAGACAGACCACGGAAGGAGGGGGGTTTTGGGGAGACGGGGACCCCACCCCAGGTGGAGGGTGCTGGTGTGGGGCAGGGAAGCCTTATGCCAGCCCAGGGGGAGCCACCGCCCAGCCCTTGGGGTGCAGGAGCCCCTCCCCCGCCCAGCCTGGCTGACCCCCACGTGGAGGAATTCATTCCCAGCCTCTCGACCTGCGGGCAGTGGGCCTGGGCTGGGCAGAGGGTGGTCCCCTCCTGTCCGTGTGTCCTCCAGTCAGCCCCACCTCCCGCTGACCTCCATGCCTGTGCCTCCTCTCCTTGAGGCCGATGAGGAGGCTGCCTCCGCCCCTGGCAGCTGATCCCACAGGCCCCCTTCCTGACCTGCTGCTCTAGCTCCCGCCCTTCCCCCCGTCACTATGGTCGCCCCAGATACTCTTCCGATTCTTCACTTGCCTCACAGATGCCCAGATCTGGCCCACAGCCCCCTGTCTGCCTTTCCCAGGACCCTGGGCGAGTCCCTGTGGACACCTCTGCACCTGCTCTCCCTGCCTCCCCTCCTACCCTGCCTCCCAGGATGCCCACACTTCCTCGGGGAGCTGTCCGGGCTCTGCCTCCATCACCCCTCACCCACCGGTCCTCTGCTGCCTCCCTCCCAGCCCTGGGGGGCAGGGATTGGTCATGTGTCTCCCCCACCTCCACCTCCTCAAGGCCCAGCAGGGTACCCGGGACAAGTGGGGGGCAGGGCCAGGCAGACAGAAGATGGAGTGCGCCCTGGTCGCCATTCCCGGGTGCAGTTCAGGGGTTTGGAGCCCGCACACTGTGTTCGCCCAGCACCAGCATCCCCCGCCCCCGCCGTGGCCGGCACTGCTCTCCCTTCTGTCCGGGCGCCTCAGAGAGTGGAGCCGTCCAGTGTGTGTCCGTTTGCGTCTGGCTGGATCGCACTGAGCCCATGAGAATTCCCTTCCTTTTAAAAAAAATATGTTTACTGATTTCAGAGAGGAAGGGAGAGGGAGAGGGAGATAGGAACACCCGTGATGAGAGAGGGTCATGGCTCGGCCTCTCCAGCACGCCCCCCACTGGGCATGCATGTGCCCTGACCAGGAGTTGAACGGTGACCTCCTGGCTCACAGGTCAACGCTCAACCACTGAGCCGCCCAGCTGGGCCCCTTCCTTTTTGAGGCTGGAGAACATTCTGTTGTAGGGAGGGACTCCATCCCTCCGCCGATGGCGTCTGCTTTGTCTCCGCCTTCTGCCTGTTGTGAACGCTGCTGCTCTGAGCAGGGCGTGCACACGCAAGCTTTTGAGTGGACTCCTTTCTCTGCCCCTTAACTGGCGGGGGGACGAAAACACAGCCCCCAGGGCTGGGCCTGGGCCAGGCAGGGCGCGTGGCGAGGGTGTGGCGGCAACAGCAGGTGCACTGACGCCTCCCCGCGCCCCGCTCCGCAGTCCCAGATCACCGAGGACTTCCGGGCCCTGAGGAAGACGGCCGAGGACATGAACCTGTTCAAGAGCAACCACCTGTTCTTCCTCCTCCACCTGGCTCACATCATCGCCATGGAGACCATCGCCTGGTTCACCGTCTTCTACTTCGGCAACGGCTGGATCCCGACCGTCATCACGGCCTTTGTCCTTGCTACCTCGCAGGTGAGGCGTGACCCCTGCCCCTGTCGCTGGAGCCCCCCCCCCCCCCAGCTCTGGAGGCCTGGCCCTGGCCCGCGGAGGCCCGAGTGTGCCCGCTGGGAAAGCACCTGTGGCCTCTCCCCGCAGGCCCAGGCCGGCTGGCTGCAGCACGACTACGGCCACCTCTCTGTCTACAAGAAGTCCATGTGGAACCACATCGTCCACAAGTTCATCATCGGCCACTTGAAGGTAAATGCCGCGGCCCCTCCATGCGCAGTGGGTGGAGCGCTGCTGCTCCGAGACCAGGCCCCAGCTGTGAGGCTCCCCCCTCCCCCGGGACCAGGCCCCAGCTGTGAGGCTCCCCCCTCCCCCAGGACCAGGCCCCCAGCTGTGAGGCTCCCCCCTCCCCCGGGACCAGGCCCCAGCTGTGAGGCTCCCCCCTCCCCCGGGACCAGGCCCCAGCTGTGAGGCTCCCCCGCTGCCCTCCGGAGCCGGACTCCCTGTCTCCTTGGAGCCACAGCCCGCGCTAGTCCTGAAGACAGACCCTCGCCTCTTGGTCTGTGACTCGGCAACTGGACGGTCCGTATCTGAGCAGCCCCTGTGCTGTGGGGCCGGCAGAGAAACCGTTTCTCTTGATGAACAGGAGCAATCTGAGCCGTTGAACGCAGCGAGCTCTTCCTTCTTCTTCTGGGGAAACGCAAAGACAGCTTGGCACAGCCTGTCCGCCCGCTGTGAAATGTGCCCTCCCTCCCCGGAGGCGTCCTCCTCTCATTTGCCTTCATCTTAGTCATGTTGTTACGAGGATTTGAGTCATGTTGTTACGAGGAGTCCTTGGCCATGAGCCGTCGCGATGCGCGGGGTGGAGAGGGGTCTGCAGACAAGGGGACAGCACGCAGCCCAGTGCGCAGCTGACCGAGGAGCAGAGCTGGGTGACCCAGGAGGCCGGGCGCTCTCGGTGCCCTACAGACCGGGAGGCGTTTCTAAACAGCGGCCAGTGTGTGAAACCCCGGCTGGACTTGCCAGGGACCGTGGGCTGATTTGATAGGCGCTATCTCCTTGGGTTTGGGAATCCGTCCCTGCCAGCTGTCTCCCTGACACACAGCCCTCCCCACCCAGCTGCTTCCTAAGGAAGGCTGTGTCCTAGACTCCCACCTCCCCACCCCACACCCTCCCCACCCCACACCCTCCCCACTCCACACTCTCCCCCGGGACCCTCCCCACGCGATAGGCGTTCCCGGTGCGGTCCCGTTCCGGACGGCTTG